CTGTTCCTAGACGAGCGTCAGCGGATCAATGGAACGGCCTTCGGCACTTGAAGATAGAATCACATGGCTCGCAACAATTGATGTTCGGCGCAGGTCAGCGACCTGCACGTGACAATTCTTTCGTTGCACGATCACTGGCAGACTTTCACAAAAAAATTTTCATTTTTACAGGAGAAGTGCACTGTTACTTTTCACTTTTCACTTTGACACTAGCACTACGTTGTTGTTTGAATTATTGGCCGCGAATTAGGTCGATTATTATTAACATTGCACGGTGTGTTGGCCCTGAGAAGGGCCGATTGTTTTGAAACGGCAAAAGTCGTTCCTCGTCATTTCGGAAGCCCTGAAAAGGGCCGATTATTATACGATTTGCAAGCCCTGAAAAACGCCGATTGTCGTCAAACGACGAAAATTGTTCCTTGTCGTAAGTTTTGGTGGCCCTGAAAAGGTCCGGTTGTTTACTTATAGCAGATACGGCTCCACGTGGTCGCCTCGCGAATCCAGGCAGGCCCGCGCTCTCTTCTCCACGCTATGGTTGATTTTCCACAGGGTCTCTTAGGTGATATTTGCGACGGCGGCGTGTACACGAGCGACACGTTGTTCCGAACTGTTAACAAGTTCTCGGTATACTTCCGCCTGAAACAGAAAAGAAAAGGAAAACAAAACACATTAATATACAATTACACGTATGCCATATAAAAATAATTACCTTCAAGTATTCCCAAAAGAAGAAATCCAACGGGTTGAAGTCGGGTGACCGTGGAGGCTAGGACACAGGACCGCCGCGACCAATCCACCTGTCCTCGAAGACTTCGTTCAAGTGGGCCCGAACTCGTGCGGCGTAATGAGCAGGAGACCCATCCTGCTGTAAATTGATATTCCTCCAGATCTGGATTGGAATATTTTCCAACAGAATATCCCGCAAGAACGTCAGATATGCTGGACCGTCCAGCCAGTCTGAAAGGATGTACGGTCCAACGATCTGATCTCTGCAAATTTCGGCCCACAGATTGATCCACTAACGATCCTGCACCACGTGTTCACGTAAAGCGAACGGATCCGCGTCGTCCCAGACGTGAGTTGTGGGTGTTGAAGCATTCTTCCCTCGTGAAGAGTGCTACGTTCGACCACAATATGCACAATAGGAACGACGGGTACCGTTCGCTCTTCTCCAGCAGCCACGTGGAATACTCAACCCTGCAGGCGATCACTTGTATAGGTATAAAAGGAAAAACAAGAAATAATGGCAGGATGGCCAGTTCATTCAAAGAAACCCCACTGATGTCTACTTAAGCACTCGGTTAGAGTTCCCACGTTGAGATGAGCCCATTACAAGGCGAAGTTCAATATCTCTTTGACGCGCAATGAGACACTGCAGGCGACCTCCAATACAGATGTAGAAAAAATAACAAGAGAAAATAGTATGATGACCACTTCATTCAACGAAACCTCACTGATGTCTATTTCAGCACTCGGTTAGCGTTCCTTTGTTGGGAATTCATTGTTACTTAGAATGTGTGACGCTGCTGAGAAACAAATCGAAGAATTTAAAGTTTATTCAATGGAAGTACTGTTCAATGAAGTATTAAACGCAGCTTTGAAACACACTAAAGACGAAAATCCTATTTCGATTGCCGTCGCCACACTAGAGTTCGAAAAAGACATTTTCGCTTTTACGTCCGGCCCTGAATGTGAATTTCATAAATTCCTAGATAACACGATTTAATATTGCAGCAGGTCGATAGTCACGCGATGGGGATACACCATGTGCGACTATTGTTGCAAACATTTGAATATCGAGATGATTGAAGGTGTCCATTACCCGGCATCTCATGAAAAATATGAGGCCATTGGTACGAACGTCGACGAATTGACTGCCCGCATGGAATGGTTGACCGCCAGTGATAAAAAGAAGAAAGACATGAATGGCGTGTGTAATAGCCACCGGATCAAAGTGTCGGCGGGTTCGTACACGCAAAAGCAACGCAGACGCGTAAAATCAAGGCCATTGGAAATAATTGACCATGGCAAAATTGGTGCAGGTTCTTCGTCGGAGACGAATACTGAGCGTTTCGTAACACAAAAAATGGAACAATTTTTTACAGTCTGCCATTGATAGGGGAAATATTTACAGCCACAAGCTGTAGATAGATGTACTTAAAAATCTTCGTTACGTGTTAATGCATACTTAAACATTAACTTTAGTTAGCAAAAAGAACGTAGTTTCTTGAAACAACTTTCAAACAGTCTGCCATTTATTTGAGTACAAGGCAAGATTGCGCAATCCATGAAAAGTTTATTGGCAGATGGTTTTCTCCAGTACAAGAATAAAGCGTATTTATGTTAGTTAGCAATTAAATCGTACAAGAACAATCGTCTAAGAACAATTTTTTACAATCTGCCAAGCTCAATTTAGGCTAATGTTAGCGTAAAATTGACGAAATTTCACAAGGCAGACTGTTTGAAAGTTGTTTTAAGAAACTACGTTCTTTTTGCTAACTAAAGTTAATGTTTAAGTATGCGCTAACACGTAACGAAGATTTTTAAGTACATCTATCTACAGCTTGTGGCTGTAAATATTTCCCCTACATTGTTCCACCGAGTTATTTCCTCTCATTCCGCGTTCCGACCAGGAACCCTATCTTCCCTCACTCACTATCGCTACGGCACGATTCGTTCTCTCCGTCGATCATAATTCTTCTCAGACAAACTACCCGTTCACGCATCGACAGCAAAACATGTTATTATTTGTGAAAGATTTCATATTTCGCTGTACCCGTGTACCGACTTTCCAACTACAGTTACAACACATCCATACGCCAATGTTTGAACGTTTTACCGACATTTCTCCCCTTTTCAGGACAATACCCGTGCCTCATCTTTTGTTCGAACAAACTATCCCTCGGCAACCTTCCCGGAAATACTTCGTCGTTGGGAATTCCCGTTCCCAACACTCAACCACTTCTACCTCCGTCTATTTCAAACTCCTTAAGATGGACTGACAAATAAACAATCAAGATTCCTATAGGGAACCCTTCCTCGCGAACCCTACTCGTTCTTTTTTTTACGATCATAAACCAGACAATCCGCGTTAAAAATATATAACCCCGGACATTTACAACCCAAAAGTCAAACTACAGCGGGTCTGCAGAATGATAATAAAAAATGATTTCTCATCTACAGTATCCGTTTACTAATAATCTGTTATTTATATAAAAATCCTTTGTTCAGATGAGTCACAGTCAAGTCTCGATTCAATCGAGCCAGTCCAGTTCCTATTTCAATCATTCTTAAAACAGCCACGACCTACAACCTATCAGCCCATTGGGAGAGTTAAACAATTGTATATCCTAGCAGTTCACGTAACAACGAGCCATCCCGTCAATCGATCCGAGATCCCGCCCGGCCAGTCAGTCGATAACAACCCAATTAATTGATTAATCGATCAGCACAGCGAACCATCCATACCCTTCTTCTTTACGAACATTGCTCGATTACGATTGTAATCGTTTGAACCCACGAAGGTTCAACGAGATACTCGCGCAAGTAAATGAACCAGATTCGATGTAAGCCAGTATCACTTCAAAATGTAAAGTTATATATGCCCAGCAATCGAATCCGGAATGGAGCAAATCAGCAAAAATAACCGTTTCGAATGTTAGACAATATGATGATCGTTCGCGTCAAGCCAACACATCCAAGAAATGCAGGATGAATTCAAACCCAATCTTACTCGATATTCTGATTCAAATCATACCGATCCTGAAAGTTTCCCTTTCGTTCCCATAACTGGTAAACAAATTTAACAACTATGCCCCCTTCACCGATCAATCAATTCAGAGCTTTAACAGGAACAAGTACTTCCACACGAATTGTTTGTCCGCACAACGACTTTAAGTCATATATAGTTCGCCGGCTCAAAAGAAAAACTCCTATCATCATTAGGAGTCCAACATTATTCATAACAGACATTGTATGTTTCAGACACTCTCGTGACAAAATCGTATCAGCGATGTCCATTGTCCACCTTGCCAGCCCGTCGAGGACGCGGTCAATTACCTCCTCTTTGCCTGTTTGTTCGCTCTGCTTTTGTTTCGCCGTTACGCTCGTCTTTCGTTCCCCGTCGCACGCGCCCTCTGTATGCTCTAGTTATTATTACTTTGCTGTCCGTGTCGTTTGCGCTCTGACCGTTTGTTTTGTTTTTTTCCTTTTTATTTTCCTCTAGCTTCGTCGCTGCTTTCGGGGGGGCCTCTGACCGTCCGTTCGCGTGAGGTGAATTTTTGTTCTTTTATTTCTTGTCGTTTCTTTTCTGGGTTGGCTTTTATTTTTGTCGTTCGCGTTCAGGTTTTTCAGGTTATGGAAGTACACATTTTGTCTTTTAGTTGTTGTTTTGTTTAATTATTTGTCTCTCTTTTTTGTTTCTTTTGGTGTTCTACGTTTTATTAACAGTATTCGTTTATATGCTTACATCTACCTTTCCATATTGCGTGCGTTTTTGTCTATCCTACTTTGTTCTGATTTATGTTAATTGGTTCGCTACGTCCTGTCCCTACGTGTGTTAATTCCTACTGTTTTGCTTTCGCTCCTTCTCTTTTTCCGTCTAAGTGCCTAACTTATTCCTATTTCTATTCTAAGCTTAAATCTATGTACATTGTCTTCGGTTCGTGTCGGTTTTCGTCTCGTGCCGCGCGTTTGCTCGCGTTTCGCCCGTCGTTTTCCCTTCGTCGTTACCTCTCTTCGTCGTTCCTTTCTTTGTTGTTGCGTCTTCTGTTTTCCTCTCGTGTCGCTGTCGTCTTTCGTTTTCGTGTGTTTCGCTGTTACTGTTGGAGGGGGGAGAATATTCAGGTTAGTCTTTCGTTTGTTTCTTTTGTCTCGTGTGTGTGTGTGTTTGTGTTTTCTGTGGAATTTTTGTGTCGAGTTTTGCTTTTTCGTGATCGTTACTTACTTTCTTTTCTCCTGGTCGTTTGTTTCTCTTCGTTTCGCGTCCTTGTTTTATTTCCTCTTTTTCTGGTCATCGTTGGTCTGTCTCTGTGTGGGTAGCGCTTTATTCGCGTTTTCCTTTTCGCTCTCGTTGTATGTTCCCGGGACGGCCGGTCTGTCGTTTGTTTGTTTGCTGTTGTCCAGTGTGTTCGTTACGTCCGTCGTTTTTCCGGCAGTTTTTATGTCTGTGATAATTGTTTGAATTCTTTTTTGTAGCCTGTGCGGGCTTATCGATGCGGTGCTCAGCGAACTGCTGTGTGCTGTGCTGTAACCGGAGTCTAGACCTTCGTGGGCCGTGGACGTCGGAGCTTTTTCTTTTTCTGTAATTTGTAAATGAGTGGGTAAGTCTGTTTTAGTTTCTCTTTTTTACTTTTTGTCTGATTTTTGTATTTGTACGTTATTTACCTTGTCTTTTTACAGGTGTGATGCCTGCGTTCTCGGAGTCTCGTGCTGTTTCGTGGCGTGTCTTTGGGATTTTGTCCGGCTCCGTGTCGATGTCTATATTCATTAAATGGTCCAGTTCGGAGGAGAGTATGAACTCGTCCCCATCGGTGTCCATGGACGTGCCGTTCGAGCCTTCGTATCTGGAGTAGTCCGATGTTTGCGGTTCTGGAGAGTCTGGACTATCTTTCTCGTCCGCTATGAAGTCTTCATCCGATACGTCTAATTGTGTTATCTCTCTTGTCTTGGTCAGTATCCATGTACGACGGTACCACCGTCACTACATTAAATTTGTGAACGCCTCCTTGGTCCAGCGGTATTCTGTTTCTCAATTTTCTGCTTCCTCCTATTGATCTACCTTCCATCTCTATCGTTATTATCAATCCCGTGTGGGTTCTTTTTTCCCTCGTCACGATCCACTTTGAGGTGTCAAAGATTTTATTGTTTTTGTTTATGATCTCAATGATGTTTCTACCATTGAATCTCGAATGTGTGCAGCGACCTTCGACTAAGAAGCGGTTATCCAGTGTTTGTCTGTCTTCTACTTTTAGTTCGTATCCCGTTTTCAACTTGACGTGCCGGATTGCGAATTTTAGCCACCTCACTGTCTCTTCCGTGCCACAGATTAGTATCACTCCCCCGTTCTTTAGATGGAAATTCACTATATTTGGTTTGATGAAGTTCTGCGACTTCTTTTTCTTCGCGTTGATGTACTTTGTTACACATTCGCTCAGTGAGTCTCCGAAGTCTTGGACATCGGCGTAGCTTAGCAAGATTCTCGGATAGCTTTCCGGGACGATCGCGACCGTCTAGGTCTTGTCTTCCTCCGCGTTTTTCACTAGCTGTCTGTTCATATTGAACCCTCGTGTCTCTTTGATCCGTACGGTGTGTGTGATCGCTAGTCGACTGACGGTCGGGGCTGGTGCTCCGGTCGTCGTCCGGGGTTACTCCTGTGTTCCCACCCTTCGTTTTTTGTCCATGCCGGGGGAACCCGGCGGTCCGTTGATTGGCCGCCTCGGTCCCCCCTTTCCTTACTTTCATTTTTCCTCGCTTCGCGGGGGTCTTTTGCATACTCGCGTTCGAATTGATGTCTGTTCGGTTTTTATTTATTTGTTAATTATGCATTTATTTTGTATTTTAATTGTATTTAATAAAGTGACTGATTTTGCCTGATGGGTCGTTGTTTATGATTTTTATTTATCACTTTCTCCTTTTTCCTCTGCGTTTTGTTCCCTTTTGTGTTTGTTTCCTTTGTTCTATTTGTTGCTTGCGTTCGTTTTTGGTTACTTTGGTTCTTTTTGTTCTTTGTTGAGTCCGTCCTGTTCCTTGTTTGCTCTTGTTTTGTTTCATTCGTTTTTGTCTTGTAGATTGTTACTGTTTCGTTAGTTTATTATTTTTCCTTTTACGTTCTGGCTTTGTCTTCTCTTTTTTTTATTGCTTTCAGGTGTGCGTTGCCTGGTTGCCGTTCGTTCATGGTGTGTTTACCTGTCGGTAATTTAGTCTTCGGGTTCCGCTTTAATCCTTTTATTGTCTCGGGATTTTTCTGGTGGTGGCTTTTGTTTTTTGGTTGTTCCGCTGGCCTAGCGCTCGCCTCGAATCTTTTGTGTCCAAGTTCTCTTTTTTTATCTGGCTGGTTCTTTACTGGTTTTCTTCGCACGTGGTCGGCTGGCCAGCCGTGCTTTTATTTATTCGTTTGTTTCTTCTTTTGTTGTTTTTCTTGGTTGTTCGTCCTCGTGGGGCGTTTTTTCCTTTTTTGTTCATTTGTCTTGCTTTGTAACTTCTTTTGTCGTTGTACATTTTCCTTTTCGTTCGCGTCGTTTTGTTACGTTTTTCCTTGTTTTTATGCTAATTTCCTTTGGTTTATTCACCGGTTCTTCTCGTTTTGCAGGCATTTCTGTTCATGTGCTCTTCTCTCTCCTTGCTTTCGTTTCCCGTCTCTCCGAGTCTTCAGTTGCGAGTCTACCTTTCGTTTTCTGGTTCTTCATTTTCGGCTTTTGCTGGTTGTTCGCCGTTTTATTAACTCTATCTATTTTGGTTGTGGGTCATTGGGTCTGGGCCGTCTCGGGTGTTTGTCCAGTGTATGGGGGGTGTCTTATCCCTTCGCGTTGAGCGTTGCGTCTTTCCTGGTCCCTTATCGTTCTTTCCATTTTTTTACTGCGGTCTTTCCGTCGAGTTCTCTGCCGTCCTTCCCTTTCTATTGCCTTCTTTTCATTTGGCTTATTTTTATCGTTGCCAGATATCGGTTACCTGGTTCATGTTTTTCCTTCCAGGTATGTGTTCGCCGTTTCGTGGATCGTCGTGTTTTATGCTTCGACGCCTGGGGTTTTTTGTCGGGTGTGTCGTTACTCCTTTTGTCTTTTATTGCTTCGTCGCTATTTCCGTATACCGTGCGTCTCTTCGTATTCGAGGGGGTAGTTTTTACCGCCTGTCCGTTCGTCGATTTTCGTTGTTTCTTTCGTTTTGCCTCTTTTACATCGCTTTGCATTTTGTCTTGTCGCGTTTTGATTCGCGGTCCTGTCTAGTTGCCTGTCATTTCCCTGTTTCCTTCGTAAATTCTTTCTCCTTTTTCTTGTTTGGTGGCTGCTTTCTTTTGTTTTTTGATTTGTTCTTTCCTTTTTTTGTTGTTGGTTGTTCTCCTTTGTTTCGTCCGTTTGATTATTGGTGGTCGATGTTGATTGTACCGTTTTGTATCTATTTTTTAATCATTGTTTTGTCTTGTTAATGTTCTTCGTTCTCGCCCCTGCCTTTTTCACCGTTTTCCCTCGGTTTGGCTCTCGGTCTCGCCTCTTCTCCTTCTTCCCTTATTCCTCGTTTCTTTTGTTTCTTTCTTATTCGTGTGTTCTTCCGTTTTCCGTCTTGTTTTTGTCCGTTACTGTTCGTCTGTCCCCGTGACCCCTGTTCGCATGCTTCTCCTTGTCGCGCCTTTCTCTACCTGCGTTAATCCTCTTACGTTGATCAGATTGTTGTCCTTTCTCTCTCGTTTGCTTCTTTCGCGTGTTCTTGCTCTTGAGTCTTTCTCTTCTGTACGGTTTCGTGGTTGTTCTAATCAGAGATGAAAAGGGAGATTGCTCATTTCTTTGTTCGAAAGTGGACAGGGCTCACTACCGCACCCTAGTGTCAATGTCCATTATTTAAGGGGAAATAGACGTAATTTAGGAGGGATTGTGCACTACTCCCCTCAAGAAGTGGACACGCCGTACAGAGCTGAAAATATACGCATAAGATTTGCCATGCTCATGCCTAGGGTATTCGTATTCGACAAGCGCTCCACCTCGCGGCCTCTTGATGAGTAACCCGGAGCTGATGTTGGAGGCCTCGCGCGGAGAAATGGGGAACAGACGTTGCGAGATATCGCGAGTTCGAGATGTTGCGAGATATTGCGAGTTCGAGGCGTTGCGAGATATTGCGAGTATTTATGTAGATGAGACGATGGGAAGGAAAGGCTATGCAGAAAATAACGATAAACACGGTAGAACATAAGCCACGATTAATTAAAAC